ACGACGACGATGACAGGGGTGTGGATTAAAGGTTTGCGTGTGTTTTCATTTGTTACTCCAGAACTTGACCCTGTAACACCTGCCAGTTTTGAAATCTAGACTTACATTTCATAATCTGAGGGAAGCCTCTTCACCGTTAGGGTGAAGTAATTGTCCTTCAGTTGCCTTTGAGGCAGTCAAAACAGCAGCCACAATGCAGGCACCTACTAGGTGCCGGTCACTGAGCTGAGTATCGAACATGCAATTTTTCAGTTTTCACAGTAGTTCCAGGACACTCAGGGCATGATTGCCCAACCTCAGGAACTAGAATACAGCAGACGATCCCAAGCTGGGAGGACTCCAAGCCTGAGTTCTGTAACATCGCCCACCAGCCACTCCTGGCTGCCGAGGCCCTGAAATGCAGCTACTGCAAACTGAGAGATTCCCCAGTGCTAAATATGAAAACATGCAAACTACCTCATTAATATTCTTATATTGATAACATGTTGTTAAGGCTTTGGATAAACTGAACGAAATGAAATACATTATCAATTTCATATAAAGTCATGTCTCTTTTTACTTCTAAAAGGATAGCTAATCGTGGAGTTCACAAAATGACTCTGTGGGTAAAGATGTCCACCAATAGGGTGGAAGGAAAAAACCCACTCCCGAAAAGTTGTTCTCTGACCTTCACACAAGCACCATGACCTGGTGTATCCACCCCCCATCCCACACACACAAGTAAATATGGCTGGGGCCTAGGGAGGTGGCTTTTACAGACAACCCGGAACCCCATGGCAGCTCACAACTATCTGTAACTACAATCCAGAGGATCCGACGTCTTCTGTCCTCCATGGGCACCAGGCTCATGTGTGGTGCACTCTTAAACATGTAGGCGGGAACTCACACACATTAACTAAAAATAGGAAACAATATTTAAAAGCATATAATATGGCTAGTTGAATATTTTAAATCACCCAAGTGGCCTGCCCTTGTAGTGAGTACTACATTGCTTGTTTGTTTGTTTTGGGGGCAGGGTTCCCACTAGGTGGCCCAATCCAGCCTTGAACAGAAGATCCTCCTGCCCACTTCCCTAGGGCTAAGACTGTAGTCACTCACCGCCACACCTAGCTCTCGTGTTGCTTTCCACTGATTGGCACTGCCCTATAGCCAGGGTACAGTCATGCCTCAGACAGCTTTAGAGGTTAAGTCAGCACTCCAGTTCTGAGTCTCCAGGGAGGTGAGTCAGGGAAAGCTGTAGTTACTGCCCACAGGGCAGCCTTCTGTCTGTAATGACAGACTCTGGACTGGACAGTCACACCCCGCCCTCGCCATACCTCAGGGTATGGTGCACACTGAGGTCTTAGCTGCACAGAGTGTCTCCTCCTCCAGTGTCCTCAGCTTCCCTAGGGAATTCTCTGAGCACAGACTGTGAACTCCATTTCCTTTCCCTTTTGTGGAATCTTAACCCAAGTCAGAGACCAGGAGGACCTTACCTAAAAACCTCTCCTGCCCATTCCTCCTGTTCTGTAGCCTCCTGCAAGCTTTGACCTAGGCCCTATTCCCATCCTAGATAGAAGAAGGAATTTTTTAGCCCAGTCCCAGGCATCTTACCCTTAATCTGGGCTTCTCTGAACCAGAACTCCAAACCGTGAGGCCTTCCTTTAACCCCTCAAAGACAAAGTTCCTCCAGTATTGCTGACTGCCACTAGAAATGAGTCCAGAGAGAGCTGGGTCCAACTGCAGAAGGCTTTCTTGTGTCATTCTTTCCTATTTTGACTGACTTTTTCCATCGTGTATGTTAATTATATTTGTAACCAGAAAAATGGTCACTATTAGTTAAAAACAACCATAAACAGGGAATAGTGGTTCATGTCTGTTATCCCAACACTCAGGATGCTGAGGTAGGAGGATCACAAGAGGCCAGCCTGGCGTACACAGGTAAACTTTGCCACAAACGAACAAAACTCAAGGATCTTTTGAAAGGCATACATACTGTTCTTTTTAAATCATCATTATTATGTGTGTGAGGTGTGCGTGCAAGTGCCCATGGGGTATGTAAGGGGTATGTGTGTGGAATTAATTCTTTCCTCTACCCTTTACATGGTAGGTTCTGGGAATCACACTCAAGTCATCAGTTTGTCCAAGTGACTACTGGCTGAGCCGACTCACCAGCTCCAATACACACAATTCATAAACAACCGGTTGCTTCCAAGTGGAATTCAACTCCTTTTCGCTTACGTTAAGTTTGAATGTGTTCTCTGTCTGTGCTGGCCAGATGATTGTTTGTGAACTTGACACAAGCTAGAATCACCTGAGCAGAGGAAATCTCAGCCGAGGAAGTACCTCCATAAGATTGGTCTGTCGAGCCAGTAAGCAGCTCTCCTCCACAGCCTCTGCCTCAATTCTTGTCTCCAGGCTCCTGCCCAGATTTCCCTCAGTGATGGAGTGTGATTTGAAAATTATTAGCTGAAACAAGCCCTTTCAAGCCTCTCCTAGTTGCCTTTCGTAAGGGGGTTTTATCACAGCCACAGACACCTACGATGTCATCCATGTTGCAAACCTAATTCTGAGAAGGTCCCATTAATGGCATTTGGAGGTATTGCTTCTGGGGAACAATCAGGATTAGATAAGATCATGAGGGTGGACCCCCATGCTGGCCTTAGTGGAAGAGAAATCTGAGGGAGCCTGCACCCTCTGCCTGGTCATGTGATGTCTCCACCGTGGTGCAGCTCCCAGTGTTGCAGAACTCATAAACTTCTATGCTTTGGTTTAGTTTGTCATTGGCTTTTAGAGATGGGGGTCTCTATGTAGCTTGGAACTTTCCACTCTCCCACAGCTGCCTCCCAGTGCTGCGGTTACAGACGAGCCAGGCTAGCTTGAAACTTTCCACTCTCCCACAGCTGCCTCCCAGTGCTGCGGTTACAGACGAGCACCATCATACCCAATGATAGAAACTTGTAAGCCAGTTGTTCTCAACCTGTGGCCTGAGGGTCACGTGTGTCTCGAGGTAGCTATGGCTTCGGCTCAACACATTTGTAGATGACAATGGTTGTCAATTGGGAATGTCAAAAGGTTGGATACCCCGGCATCTTTACAAGTTGCCCAGATTGTCATATTTTGTTACAGTATCGAAATAGAAAGTGGACCTGGAGAGGCTAAGGTAGAAGGACTCCCTGAGTTCAAGGCCAGTCTATGAGTTCTATATCAGCCTTCGCTACACAGAGATACCATCTCAAAACCACAATAACCCCTCCCTGCTTCTCCATAAGAAAATAAGCTGTGACACATAGGGAAATAGCCATTTACAGTTTGACCTGCCTACACGACCTCCTCCAGTCACCTGCACCCTCCAGGCCTACTGGGACCCAACACTGTGTCCCTCCCTCCTCCTCACACTAAGGCCCAGCTTCAGTGACATCTGCTGACAAACCTTCTCCAGAACTACTGATGTTTTAGGATGTCAATGCTAGTCTCTGTCTACGAGAAGCCAGTAGCACTGCCTTCCCCAGTGGTGACAACCAAAAATTGCCTCAGACATGGCTAAAAGTCTCCCAGGAGGCAAAAATCATATAAATTAAAAAAAAAATAGCTTATACTAGCTGGCCATTCCCTACTGTTTCTACACATCTTTGTTCTTGTGGCCACTGTGACATTTGGCATTTATCACAGAGTCTACAGGAAGCGCATTGATTTGGTACATTTTCTGCCTTCCAAACATGGATGGCAATCCCTCGGGACAAGGATGTGATTGCTTCAATCACTGAAGCTATACTCAAAACCCTGCTCCTACCACTCACTTGCTATGTTCCTGAGCCAACAACTGTGTCCCCACCTGTGAAAAAGAATGCCCTTCCCCAGGAGGGCTATGTGCTGAGAGCCTGGTTTACACCATGACCAGCTGACTGTAAGAGATGGATAGATGATGGCTCTTGGCAGGGAGTGGTGGCAGCATGCCTGTAATGATGGGGTTCAAACAGGAGGAGCCTGAATTAGAGTCCTGCCTGGGCTACATCAATGTTAGGGTTTTGTTTGGGCTTCTTTCTTCCTTCCTTCCTTTCTTTCTTTTTCTTCTGAGACAGGGTTTCTCTGTGCATCAGTCCTGGCTGTCATGAAACCAGCTCTGTAGACCAGGCTGGCCTCAAACTCATAGAGATCTGCTCAGCCCTGCCTCCTGAGTATTGGTATTAAAGGCATGCACTATCACACCCAGGCATCATTTTTAATAATGGCTCACCTAACTGGGGTGCTATCTCACTGTCTTTTGGACTTGCATTTCTATGATGGCAAATAGGTTCTTGTAAACTCACTGGCCATCTGTATTCCCTCTTCTGAGACATGGCACTTTGTCTCTTGAGGCTAGAGTCTGTCTGAATTTCACTGAGCCCTGCTCAGTGCTTGAAATTTCCCTGGGAGACGCCATGTCATAACTTTATGACGTTGAGCAAGAAATGCAACCTCTGTGAGCTTCATTCAGGTTCTTCTTTTGCAGAGGATATGCCCATCTCGCTGCCTCACAATGAGAAATGGCTACAGCAAGCAAAGGAAACTTTTTAGAAATACTTTCCAACAAATATTGCAAGCAGGACCTTCCTTAAATCTGTTTAAACACTGTTGGAGCTGGGAATGGTTTACTTGATAAAGTGCTTGCCATGCAAACACCAGGACTTGAGTTTGGATCCCCATCACCTATGTAAAAAAGTCAGGTCTCTATATGCACATCTGTAACCCCAGGACTGAGGAAGTGGGAGCAGGATGATCCCTGGGGCTCACTGGCCAGCTAGCTTAGTGTGGGAGTTTGAATGTAAGTGGCCCTCATAATCTAATAGGAAGTGGCACTATTAGGAGGTGTGGCCTTTTTGGAATAGGTATGGCCTTGGTGGAGGAGGTGTGTCACTGTGGAAGCAGGCTTTGAGGTCTCATATATACTCAAGCCATATCCAATGTGACAGTTTTTCCTTCTGCTGCACAAAGATCAAAATGTAGGACTCTCAGCTCCCTCTCCAGCATCATGTCTGCCTGTGTGTGGGCTGCTGGGCAGTGGTTGTCAATGAAGAGAAAGGTCTGAGGCAGGCACTGGTCAGTTAGGGATCGACGAAGGACACAGCAATATAGCGGGTACCCTTGGTGGTGGGAAGCCCTTCATGGTAGTGTGTGAGCCGCCCGGGATGCATGAGAGCCCAGCCCTTCCTTGGGGCTCTTATGGAGCAGTTGTAGCGCAGAAATCGACAGCCTCCGCCCTGGGAGAGAGGAAGCATCAGTGAGTTCTTTCCCCATAGCTCCCTGTCCTCTGTTCTATCACAGCCAAGGAGCCTGTCAGCACTGAGGGTCCGGGGACACCTTGTGGAGTGACAGTCACCAGCTGCCTGAGAAAGGCACTAGGAGATACAGAGCTGGGTGGCTCTGGGGCAAAGGTCACCTCCATCCTTAACCCTTCACCTAAGCCTCAAGTTCTGCTGCTATGAATAGCTGACAGAAATAAACTAAAAGTACACAGAGTTTAGTTTAGCCAGGTGTGGTCAGGCCTGTGATCACAGCACTCAAAAGGCAGATCTCTTATGAGCTGGGGAGACTGTCCTGGAACTCGATCAATAGACCAGGCTGGCTTTGAACTCATAGAATAGCCCAAGCTAGCTCGCTAATTGGCCCTATGCAGAAGGCTAGCTGAGGCCCTCAAAATGGCCTTTCTTGATCTCAATGCCTTCTTGGTTTCCACAGTTCTTTCTTCCAGGCACAGGTTTGTGCCCTACACCAAGGCTGACAGTCCCCACACTCCCCAAGAATTATTCCTTCTCATAAGGAGAACCCAGACTCCTTCACCACTGGCTGTCACCCATTGAGTATTTATTGGGATTTCTTATAAGTCATGACCTGGGTCCCCCCTCACTTGTTCTAACAACTCATAAGAAGACAGAAGGAAACAGAGAAGCCAAGAAACCTGTTACAGGACACAGGGCTACTGAGGAAGAAGGCAGCGTGCAGAACCACTGCCCAACCCTCTGGAGTTTGTGCTCTGGCACCTGTGAAGATGTTTACTCCTGCCAAGGTGGGCGTTGAGTCCAATTCTTCCAGGAAAGCCCTCCCCATATAACCTGACACCATTTTCTTCTCAGCCCCTGGACCCTTTGCTCAGAAGAGCCTGGCTCCTCCTTCCACCTGCCTCTGAGCCCCGAGACCCTGGCTCACCTCATAATCTTGCCCAACCCTATTCAGGGCTATGTTGACAGTGAAGGTAGAGGCATCGTGGTGAGGCATCAACGAGGGCTGCTCATCAGGCTTATAGCGGACTACAAAGGCTAGATCAAACTGCGCCTGTGACAGGGCAGGGGACAGAAAAGTCTGCATCAGTCAAGAGAGGCTGTGGAGGGCCAGGGAGAGGCAGGAGAGTTTATAGTGAGCATCCATTTAATCTGCTATGCTATTCACTCTCAGAGCATGGGGCTACTTAATACCAGTGCCTGGGACAGCAGCTGGCACCAAGAGTCTCAGGAAGAATGTGAGGCAAGAGGGAGGGACCCAGGGGGTGGGGGATGGGAAGAGAGGAAGGAAAGGAAGGCAGATAGGAACAGGAATGACTCCAACTTTTTTTTTTTTTTCCTTTTCTGGCCACTATATAGACTGACTGTCCCCTGAGAATGAGCCCAGCTACACTAGAGCAAGCGTGCTCTTCCTGAGGACCCAGGTTAGATTCCCAGCACCCACATACTGGCTCACAACCATCAGTAACTCCAGTCCGGTCCCAGGGAACCTGACAACCTCCTCTGTTCTCACCAGGCACTGTACACTGTGGTAACAGACACCCATGCAGACAAAACACTCATACACATAAAGTTAAAAGAAAAAAAAATGAAAGAAGTAAAAATGCAGACATGCACACCCAACCTCATCCAACGGTGTGGAGACTAGTACTCTTCCTAGGGGATCAAATCGTCTATGCCCTCCCTAAAGCTGGAACTGTGCCCTCAGTCCCCCATCCTGCTGCCCCGGGGAGCCTCACCCTGGTGTAGTAGCCAGGGTAGAGTTTCTCTGTCATGGGGGCAATGTACTCCACCAGGAACTTGTGCCACTCCCGCTCAAAGGTGATCTGGTTCATGTGGATGTCAATAGTGGGGACGTTTTCGTAGCCGCCCTGGATACGGTTGTCCTGGAAACGACCGTAGAGAGTGAATCCAAGATGGCCCCCAGACCCCCATGCCCAGATACCCAGGCTCTGACTCATCCCTTCCCCTTGACCTTGGCACAGGATGGGACATTATATGACAAAGAGGAGGGGGTTTGCAGACGCCATTGAAGTCCTAATCTGTTGGCTTCGGGTTAATCAACAGAGAGGTTATCCTGGGTGGTCACAGCTATCCCGTGAGCCTTTTAAGGGAGAATCTTGGGCAGATAGGTCATGGCGCCTGCTGTCATGGGGAACCCAGCTGTCCCAGGTCCTCCAGCATTAGGGAACTGACTTCTCCAACAACGTCAGGAGCTGATAATGACACCCCAATCCATAGATGAAGAACAGCTCCAGCAGACCTCTAGACTGCAGCTCTGTGAGGCCTCAGCAGGGGACCCAGATGAGGCATGACTGGGTCCTGACCCTCAGAAACCAGGAGACAATGAGTGGGTGCTTTGGGGGTTTTGTCTTGGTGCTGAGAAGTGAACCCAGAATCTTGCAACACTAAGCAGGTGTTTTGCCACTGAGCTACACGGTGTTTTAAGCCTCTTAGAAACAGCATAGAAATGGGGGGCGGGCACCCATCCACTGAGGTGCAGAGGTTCATGGACTGTCTCTGTCTGTCCAGACACCCAAATACCTAGGTTAATCATGTAATCAGAAGCATAGTAGGGTTGGAGATCAGCCAATTGGAGGCACACAGATCTAGGAACTCTTTAAAGGCAATGCCGAAAGTTCCCAAGTCGCGTGTAGTCAAGGGACCCCCCTTTTGAGAACAAACGTTCACCGTGCCATTGCGTCAGACGTCTAATGGACCTGGTACCCGACGCCCTTTGTCCCACATTGGCTCATTTCTCCCCATTTCACATGCTTGCCTGGGGCAGGAAGCTGAAGCATTCAAATAGCAAGCCAGGAAATGAAAACTTTGAACCCCAATTTAAGCTTTGAACCCCACTTTAAGGCAGCTCAAAGCCACACAACTGGCACTGTCTGCTTGGGGACCAACACTCACTCCGGCTTCTAAACCTCGTGTTGTGGCCCGCTTGCACCCTAAAAGTAAAGAGTCCTGGGAAGACTGCCTAGGTAACCAGAAGAGCCTGGAAGGGCGTCCTGGGTGAAGGCAGTCTCCCACGGCCTCCCAGGCGTCCATGGCACTACCTTGTTATCACCCAGAGACCACTGGCCATAGTGCTCCATCTCCTCCACCAGCTCGTCACAGGCTGCCTCCGTGAAGATGGGGAACCAGTAGACATCCGGGCAAGGCTGGGAAGAGGGAAGACTCCATCACAGGAGTTCAGAGTGACAACACCATGGCCTCCTCAAACTGTGGGAGACCCTGCAGAGCTCCTCGTGAGTCTCCCCCAGCTCTTTCCCTGAGCCTCGGGGAACTCCCTGGGTGTCCCCGAGGAGTGAGGGCTCGGTGGATGCTGGTTAGACTGAGGGAGGGGCTGAAGAGGGACAGAGATCAGATGGACTTTCCAGCCCAGGTTATAGCCACAGCTACCATCAGCCGTGGGAGAGTGTCCACCGAGGGCAGACACGCAGATGGGAGTGAGAGGACCGAGCCCCTATCCCTCACTCTTGGCTCAGCGGCCGCATTTGGGGATGGCCCCTCCTCCTCTTCCTTGAACTCCTGATCCTTCTGCCTCCATCTCCTGAATTCTGATATCGCAGGCCTATACCACCGTGCCCAGCAGTTCCGTCCTTCCTGTCAAAGTGTCTACAGACCTCAGCTGGGGGACGGGGCCAATCCACCCCAAGCACTGTCAGAGCAGACAGACTGAACAGTGCTCCTCATCTCTCTCCCCCACATTCAGACTCCACCCCCAGGGGCTCCCACGGCAGCACGTGGGCAGCATGGACCCCTTACCATCTCCACAAGCTTCCCCTCCAGAGCCTTGGTGTAATTCTCGTGGATGTACTTCTCTTTCCAATCCTGTAGAGAATGCAACGTGCAATGGGGGTCCCAGGCCTGGCCTGAGTCAGCTGTGGTCACCTTAAGCTTAATAGCAGGGAATGTTCCCAGGGAATCTCCAGCCTTCAGGCCCCTCAAAACATGACTAGGTACGAACTCAAGAGAGGCAGGCGGGTTATCACATGTGCCTGGTGGGTGTGGGCGTGTTGTGTGGATACACAGGATCTCACATTTGCATCTATATGTACGTTTGCCGTGTGTCTGTGTATAGGCATGTACAAATGCCCGTGTGTCTGTGTATAGCATGTACAAATGCCCGTGTGTCTGTGTATAGGCATGTGCAAATGCCCGTGTGTGTGTGTCTGTGTATAGGCATGTACAAATGCCCGTGTGTGTGTCTGTGTATAGGCATGTGCAAATGCCCGTGTGTCTGTGTATAGCATGTACAAATGCCCGTGTGTCTGTGTATAGGCATGTGCAAATGCCCGTGTGTCTGTGTATAGCATGTACAAATGCCCGTGTGTCTGTGTATAGGCATGTGCAAATGCCCGTGTGTCTGTCTGTGTATAGGCATGTGCAAATGCCCATGTGTCTGTCTGTGTATAGCATGTACAAATGCCCATGTGTCTGTCTGTGTATAGGCATGTGCAAATGCCCGTGTGTCTGTCTGTGTATAGGCATGTACAAATGCCCGTGTGTGTCAGCTGCAAACCCCGTCATTTAGGTATACGTCACATGCCCTCACAACTGCTGCTTCCTCTCATCATCAAGACATCCTCAGGGGTTAAGCCAAGCCAGGGAAAACCAACTTCAGAACCCGCATAAGAGAGCCCCAAAGGTTTAAAAGTCTCAAATAAGTCACCGCTCCCTGCTCCACTAGATGGCAGTATGTCTAAGGCTCTCTCTATACCAGAATAGAGCCCTGGAGGTGAATGGGGACTTGTGGAGAACAGGTCAGGCAGGCCAGTGTCTCTGGCCACCAGATCACTGAACTGGAGTCTCTCTGACTCCCAGCCCAGGTCCACCCTCCCAGGTCTCACCTCAGGGTTGCTGAACACCTCCCAGAGATCATTATGAAGGTGGGTGGTCTGGTAGTTATCCAGGGACAGCAAATGGCCGAAGGTATGGCGGTTGGTCAGGAACATGAACACCTCCTACAGACAGACAGTAGATGGACAGAAAGGCCCCCTCATCCTGAACATACCAGGGAAGAGCAGTGCAGTGCTCCACCACCAGATTCAAGCTTACAAGATTAAAGACTTATGAGAACAGTGCGTGCCAAGAGGTCCCTGCTGGCCTGCAGAAGCTCCTGGGCTTACAGTGACAAAATAGCCCAGTGTGCTGGTCAAGGCTGGAGGGCCACACCCCTGGCACAAGGACATCCCCAAAGCCCCACTGACCTGCTGCCGGACATTGGCACAGAAACTCATGTCAGCATCCAGCTTGCTGTAGTGGAACAGGTCTACGTGCTGCAGCTCGGCCCGCAGGGCACTGCCCTTAATCAGGTAGATGTTTGAGATGTAAGGCACATTCCACACGCCGCTGCAGGAGAGAGGAAATAATAAGGTCACGGTCTAGCAGGAGGGCTCAGAGCCTGGGAGCCTGGAGCCAGGAAGAAAAAGTTGCATCAAAGATATACATAAGCTGGTGTGGTCACAAACATCTATAATCTCAGAACTTGGGAGACTAAGAGGCAGAAAGGTCAGGAGTTCAAGTCTATTGAACTTGAGGTCATATCCGGTGTTTGGTGGGGGGGGGGTTCATCTGAGGATGCTAATCTGGATTTTTTTAATGTTTTTATTTTATTTTGCATACATGCATCTGTGTGTGTGTATGAGAGAGAGAGAGAGAGAGAGAGAGAGAGAGAGAGAGAGAGAGAAAATCACAGAACATGTATGGAGATCAAGGACAACTTTTGGGAGCAGGTTCTCTCCTTCAACCATGTGTGTCTCAGGGATCAAACTCAGAGGGCACCAGATCTCATTACAGATGGTTGTGAGCCACCATGTGGTTGCTGGGAATTGAACTCAGAACCTCTGGAAGAGCAGTCAGTGTTATTAACTTCTGAGCCATCTCTCCAGCCCCTGTCTTTTTTTTTTTTTTTTTTTTTTTATTTTTTTTTTTGTTTTACCCCCTGTTTTTTTTTTTTTTTTTTTTTTTAATTTTTATTTTGTTTGACCAAACCCAGGACCTTGCAAACATTCTACTACTGGGTTAAATCCTAAAATCAACAGTGCTAATCTCCTCTTCCCACCCCGGAAATGGGAGCCCAAGACAACTTTTAGGATTTCTTCTGCAAGTCTGACTCTAGTCCTCTTTGCTTGAGGTTCAGTAGCGACTCTAGGGCAACTGGAACAGGAATGCAGAGAGGGAGCTAACCACAAACCCTGGAGAAGAGTGAAGGTGATGGATACTCACACACGCCGCCCCTGCACAATGTCTACGTAGTCCTCAGAGCGGGCGTAGTACCCATCTGCACTCAGTGCCCCCCAGAAGTTGGACCAGAGCCTCCCATGGCGGGTCATGAGTGGCGCGATGACATTCCTGAGAAGGGGGCAGGGGCAGACCATACTGAGGATGGGGAAGGGGAGGGGCCAAGCAACTGTGATTTGCATGCTGGGATCTCTACACTTGTTACTGGGGCAGGGCAGGCCTGGCTCATCAGAAACCTCATCCCTCTTATGCTGGGGACAGACCTAGGAGGGTGCCATTCTGTTGGCCCCTGGAGTTGTCAGTCTGGGAGGCCCAGGAAGAGGGGAGAAAGGCAAGGGCCTTCCACTTTGCTCAGGGGGTCACCCACGGTCTTACTTGTTTTGCTCAATCAGGAGCCGTAGGCTGTCCGGCTCGGTCAGAGCCACGTCAGCATCCACACTGAAGTAGTAAGTGCAAGTTTGGTCCTGGCGGCACAGGTCTCTGTGAGAGGAAAAGGGTGAAGGGGAGAGGACCGGAGAGGTCATCACAGCATCTTAGGCTGGTTCCAGTGCTTCCCCAGAAGATACCACATCTGTCATTGTAAGTGTGGCAAAGGCCTTCGAATTCATGCAAACTCAGGGGCAGCCTGGGACCTCAAAGGTCCCCTCCACTTCTAACATCCAGACCTCAGGCTTCTTAGCTCTCAGATTGAGGACTCGGCAATGGCAAAGGTTATCTGGGGGAAGCACAGCCCACCAGATGGGCCTCAACACTTCGTGTCTTGAGAGCAGCTGGGCGACTAGCAGCAACAGAAGCTGGGTGCCCATCAGTGGCAGAGCACTTGCCTGGTATGCATGAAGTCCTGGCAGATCTCTGTGAGTTCAAGGCCAGCCTGATCTACAGAGTGAGTTCCAGGACAGCCAGGGATACACAGAGAAACCCTGCTGGAACTCCTCCTCCAAATAATAATGATGATAATTTTTAAAAGCTTGCAGTTGGGTATGAGGTGCACACCTGAAATCACAGCACTTGGGACAGGAGAATCTTAAATTTAAGGCCAGCTTTGGATACACAGTGAGTTCCAGGCCAGACGGGGTTACATGAGACCCTGCCTCAAAATGCCAACAACCTCCTAAAAATCAGACCAGGGCTCAGAAAACGATGGTCCCTGACCTGAAGCTCCCCACTGCCAGCTTTGTCCCGCCCAGAAGCTAAGAATGGTTCTCTGTTCTTAAATGACTAGGGAAGTGGGGGAAGGGGCAATCAAAAGAAAATTTCGCTTTCCCTCGAGGAAGTCAAATTTCAGTGTCCCAGAATAACTCTTTCTGGAACACAATCGCACTCATTCATTATACATCAGTGGCCATCTTTATGCTACAAGGGCAGGCAGCTCAGCAAGGGCAATGAAGCCCACCTAGCTCACCGGCAGAACTGAGAACCATCCAGTCATTTCCCCCCCCCTTTTTTTTTGAGACAGGGTTTCTCTGTGGCTTTGGAGGCTGTTCTGGAACTAGCTCTTGTAGACCAGGCTGGTCTCGAACTCACAGAGATCCACCTGCCTCTGCCTCCCAAGTGCTGGGACTAAAGGTGTGCGTGCGCCTCCAGGGCCTGGTCTGAATTTTGAATTTCTTAAAAACTTTTTTGGTCTTTTTTTCGAGACAGGGTTTCTGTGTGTAACAGCCCTGGTTGTCCTGGAACTTGCCCTGTAAATCAGGCTGGCCTCGAACTCACAGAGACGCCCCATCCTCTGCCTCCCAAGTGCTGGAGTCACCATATTTTTAATCAGAGGTTGTCTCTGTCAGTCTTGATCTATTTCTAGGTCTCCAATCTTTCCCTTTGCCTAATTTGCTTCCTAAAGCCACATGACACTGTCTGGGACCCTCCAAGTTGTCCTGACAGAGGAGAGTCCTGAATCCCAGACCACAAAGCTCTGAATTTCCAGCCTGCTGCTCCCAATGCCATGGCCCATTCGCCCACCATCCATGAGGAAACCCCAGTGCTGGACTCACGCGCCCATGTTCCTGGCATCCGCGTTGGCCATTCGCACCTCGGGACCCACCAGCTTCACGGACTGGTACTCTGTGCCGTGCTCTGCCAGGAACTTCTCTACTTCAAGCTTATGGTGCTGTTCCTGGGGGTGTGAAGGCAAGGTGTAGATGACGGTGCAGGTTCCAGGACGCATAGCACCCCTGTCACTTGCCAGATGATGCTGTCTCTGGCACACTCCTGCCACCTTGCGTCTCCGAAGGGACTCTAGCCAGCCCAAGCATAGAAAACATGGCTCTGGCAGGCCTTGGCCTTCTCCCCTATGCCCTCTGCCTTGCTAAAACCATTAGATTACATTCCTAAAGCTATTTCCTTATTTGGCCACAACATCCAGCTACCAAGGTATTGAAGTCCAGCAATCAAAAGCCCCCTTTGGCTCACCTAATTAACACGCCCAATTAAACTAAACACCTCATCCCAACATGGGGTTTCCCCTGTACCTTTCTAAACCACCATCTGCCTATGCGACACACCTGTCTCCTTGCTCTCCAGAGGCAGGCCTTCGTCCCCCTCTGAGACAAGTCCCCCGATCCTTTTCCTTGTTCCCTTCCCCTTCTCCCTTGTCCTCTGTCTCCTGTCTTTGTCCCTTATCCCTGCCCTCTGTCCCTCTTAGGCAAATAGATCTCCTTTGTGCTGAGAACTTGCTCCTGGGGTGTCCTGAGACGGTACCTTTCCCTTCAGTCTGTCAGGGGCCCTTCTCTGGTGATCCTTTCACGTTCATCTTCCCTGGCCAGGCCCCACCCCATAGGTCACATCACAGCGCGTCACCAGGACAGCTCCACCTCCCAAGGACCCCACATCTAAGAACAGGAGTTTTAGTTCCAAACCTAAGCAGGGATGCCCAACTGACGGACATTTTGGTACCACATCATCATTGACAAATGCTGTAATGTTCCTTGGGATGCAAGTGGCCTGAGGATCACAGGCCACTTGGTAGACCAACATCGGCTCTGCTACAAAGAGCTCATGACCTTGGACAGGACCTTCATCTGTCTCTACTTTAGAGAAAGATGTCTCCTCCCTCAGGTCACTGGAAGTAGGCAGTGAGTAATAGTCAGCACACAGTAGGTTCTCATGTCTGTGACTGTTCTGTTTCTACACAGAGTGGCAGTTCATGCAGGGGAGTTGTGAGCCACGTGAGGACAGGTCCCACTGTTGTAGAGCCTGCTGTACATCAGAGGTGAATGTAAGGAAGCCAGGCCAGGAGCCAAGCTGGCTGGGAGACTATGGGTCCCCCAGAAGGGGGCATCTTGTTGCAGCTGGAAGGTATACAGGGGAGACACAGACAAGACATCTGAGCAGAACTGAGACAGGGCAAAGGCTCCCACAGACTGGGTCAGATCTGGCAAGTCAAAGACACAGCAAAGCAAAAGAGACCAGGCTGTACCTAGCCAGGAGCCTGCTGAAGAACCAGCCTGCTCCCCATAGAGCTCAGGGCTTGTACTCATGTTCCCTGAAGGTGCTAAAAGCAATGAAAACCAACTTGACTTTCACCAGATCAAACCCATAAGCATTAAGGAGACAGGAAACAAAAATGACCACAGTCAAGGTGTGGTGGCTTGAATGAGAATGGCCCCACACACGCTTATGTTTAAATACTTGGTCCCTAGTTAGTGGAACTGTTTGGGAAGGATTAGGAGGAGGTATGGCTTTGTTGGAGGAGGTGTGTCACTGGCAGGCTTTGAGGTTTCAAAAGACTCCTGCCATCCCTAGTGTTCATTCTCTCTCTCCTTTCTCTCTCCCTCCCCCTCTCTCTCTGCTGCTCCTGATTCTAGATGTGAACTCTCAGCTGTTTCTGCCACCATGCCTTCGTTCCACTGATATGGACTCTAAAACTTTTGGAACCACAAGTCCACTTTACAATTTCTGTTACAAGCTGCCTTGATCATGGTGTTTTGTCAGAGCAACAGACAAGTAACTAAGACACACGGCTGTCGCTGTGTGCTGGCTGTGAATGGGGCTGCCTCTTTTTTCTAACTGTGACGGACAAAACCTAAGGATTTGGGATTGGAGAGACTGACTGGTCAGCCATTAAAAGTGCTGGCTGAGCTGGGCGTTGGTGGCGCACACCTTTCATGCCAGCACTAGGGAGGCAGAGGCAGGCAAATCTCTGAATTTGAGGCCAGCATGGTCTACATAGCAAGTTCCAGGACAGCCATGGCTACACAGAGAAATTCTGTCTCAAAAACAAAACAAATAAACAAGAATAAATAAATAAATAGTGAGTGCCTGCTGATCTTCCAGAGGACCTGAGCTTGATTCCCAGCACCCTTGTCAGACAGCTAACATCCACCTGCAGCTCCAGCTTCAGGGAACCCAGCGCCCTCATCTGGCCTCCACGGGTCCCTGCACTCATGTGCACGTGCACACATACATATGCATAACTTTGAAAATAAAGATACTTAGGACCCAGGACCCACTCACACAGTAGGTAGGCAAGTACACTACAACTAAGCTACACCTTTAGTACTTTACAAAACTTTTTTTATGGGAGAGGGACAGGCTCACTATATAGCCCAGGCTGGCCTCGAACTTACAAACCTCACACCTCAGCCTCCTCAGTAGCTAGATAGCAACTTCCCACCCCCTTAGTCTTCAATGCACTTCACAGGTCAACTTGTTTCACCCTTGCAGGAATTTAGTGTGATGACCTCAATTCCAACCTTGATTTAATAAATCAAGAAAAGAGGAACAGAGAGCTTAAGGTTGGTGCCCCAGGTCACACAGCCAAGACAAGTAGCATTGTTGGGACTCAAGCACAGTTCGCCCGACCCAGTCAGCCTAGTGATTTGGGGACACAGCCCACTGGCCACTTCCATTCAGCCCGGATTCAGTGGGATCCTCAGAGTTCTTAGGCCAGCTCACGAGGCTGGGCCCTTGAGTCGAGCTCCACGCAGCAGCTACTCACGTGGTTGTGAATGAAAAGCCGCATCCGTTTCTGGGGGTATCGCAGGCGCAGCAACCTCAAGAAAAACAGGGACAGGAATGGCGTGGGCTGCTCAATGAACACACCGACCAGGACGGTGGGCAGAGCTTCATCCTACAGAGGGAAAGACAGAAGAAAAGTCAAGCAGGGTCTAGTCACCGCCTGCCACCACACCCTACCACAGCCCACGGATACCTGAGGCACATGGCCTCAGGAAGTTAGATGCCCAGGTCACAGAGCATCAAAGGCAGGTGTGGGGCTGGCAGGACACATGGTGAGATTTGTCTACGAAAGGGTCAACCAGTCCCCGGGCTCTAACAAGGGCCAGTGGATAGCATGGCACCCAATCATGGCCGGTGTGGTGTTCATGCTGGACCACAAGGGCCAACAAGAGCTCACAGCATAGGAAGAGGCTAGGGGAGCATAAAGGGCTAGGGAGAAGAGAATGGACTCGGACATCAGGAAGGAAGCCGGAGCCTGTGTAGTCTGGAGGAGCTTCCTGGAAGAGGCTCTTAGGTGGCCCCACAGACAGAGAAATGACCTCTTTACAGCTCACAGACGCACCATTTGGGAATCACCTCCCCTTTCCCCCATCTCAAGGACTGTCTCCCTCAGCTCAAGCCTGGCCTCACCCCAATGCCCTTGAGGCTGCGTAGGCCCTCATCGCACACCGTGCAGCCTGTCTCGAAGGTCCAGAATCGAGGGATGTAGTTGCCCAGGTAGTTCAGCTGCAGCTGTGGGGAGTCAAACGCAGTTGGAAAGCCAAGCCAGCCACACCCCCAAACTAGCAAATTCCATCTCCCTGCCTGCCATCTTTCAGGATCTGGGGGGAATGCTCCAGGTCCTGAGCGTCTTGGCTGCTGGAGAGGGGCTGGGGCTTATAAAAACCAGATTCCTAGGGACTAGACCTCCCAGGGTTCCAGGCAACAGAACTGGGTGGAACCAAGAACTGCATTTTCTTTTTCTTCTGTTTGTTTGTTTTGGGGGATCTCAAGTAGTCCAGGCTGGTCTTAAACTCACCATGTAGCCAAGAACAACATTAAATTCCTGATCCTCCTGCCTCTACCTCCTGAGTTCAGAGAGTATAGGTGTGCACTGCCATGCCTGCCTTATATGGTCCCTGGTGAGCAAACCCAGGTCCTCAGGCATGCTAGGCAAACACTCTGCCTGAGTTACAACTCCAGCCACAGATCTGCATTTGCCCCAGGGTCCCTTTCCTCTCCTGCCCACAGGCTGCTAAGGCTGGAGACTGACAAGTACACTGTGAACCACCAATCAGTCCTTCAGGACCACTTAGGTCTGCTGTCCCTGGCCACCATCTGCCCCAGCCCCTTCTACAACACCATGAATACAGCAACTCTATTTGTGACACATTGGTCCTTGGTGCAGATCACCAATACATGTTCACTCTGTGAACAAGTGACTGCCATATCGCAACAGCATAAGATGATTCTAGAACCTTCCTCAAAGTCTAGATAGGGACAGTAGCCTCTTATGGATCCTGTGAGCCAGTAGGGATGGAGAGGGCACCATTGCCCACCAGAGTGGAGAAACAGGACACGGGGACAAGCTTGTATCCAAGGACCACAAACAGTGCCACTAGCTCCAGGGTGCAGTCACAACAGAAGCAGAATTGGGACTCGGGCTTCCTTCCACACTCCCCCAAGGTTGGGCCCCTCCCTACCTTGGTGGGACCATTGCCATGGATGACCACTGGAAGGGTGTCATAGGCCAGATTCCGTGCTCTCACGTGGCCCATTTCAAACTTGAGTACGACTTCATCTGGGGGAAAGAATACACAGACCCATCTAGTGGCAGAGTGGCCGATGCTGAGGACTCTCCGGCTGTGGCTCTGCGGAAGCCACTTCACCCCTCTAAGCCTCAGTTTCCCCATCTTAAATTCCTTCTGTTTTTAAAGATTTATTTTTTAAAAAAAGATTTATTTTTATTCGTGTGTGTGTGTGTGTGTGTGTGTGTGTGTGTGTGTGTGTGTGCGTGTATGTGTGTGTGTGCGCGCGCACGCACATGAGTGCAGTGTCCAAGGAGACCAGAGGCATCAGATCCCCTGGAACTCGAGTTACAGGTGGTTGTGAGCTGCCTGAGGTGGTGGGTACTTGGAACCAAACTCCCATCTTCTGGAAGATTTCCTAACCACTTTAGAAATTACATTTAGCCAGGCATGGTACACTATGCCTTTGAATCTTAGCAGGCAGATCTCTGAGTTCAAGGCCTGTTTGTCCTATAGAGTGAGTTCGAAGACATCAAGGGCTACTCAGAGAAACCCTGTCTCAAAATAAAAATTAAAAAAATTAAAGTTACATTTATTTACTTAGTGTCCAGAGTTTATATGTGGAGGTAAGAGAACAACTTGCCATGTGGGTTCTGGGGTTCTAACTCAGGTCTTCTTCAGGCTTGGCAACAAGCGCCTGCACCCACTGAGCCATCTCCTTCATAGGGTAAATGTGTGGCTACAAGCACTTGACACAGCAGCATGGAAGGAGGAGAGGCCACAGTGACCCCTGTCCTTAGTGTGGTGGCAGAATGGGGTGGGGGAGGGGCAGCAGAGACTAGACCACCCCAACTTCAGACACTGGTGCAGCACTGAGGGGTGTGAAGGAAGCAAAGTCACCGGCTGGGGCCCAAGGAGAAGGGGTCACTTGTACTGACATGGCACGCCGGGCGGGGCCGAGAGCCAGGTGCCTTGGTTCCAGCCCTGGCACGAATTCACTTCCCCAGGCTGGAGTGGTTAAGAGCCCTGGCTCTTCTTCCAGAGGTCCTGAGTTCAATTCCCAGCAACCACATGGTGGCTCACAACCATCTGTAATGAGATCTGGTGCCCTCTTCTGGCCTGCAGGGATACATGCAGACAGAATACTATACAAAATAAATAAATAAATCTTAAAAAAAAAAATGTAGCCAGGCGTTGGTGGGGCATGCCTTTAATCCCCACACTCCGG